ATTTTACGAGAACATAGTAAATATATTACAAATATTTGGATCAATGGTATCATTTGGACCAAGTATTAGACCAAGGTGTTTTGATATATTACATAGAAGTGATCAGTGGTCACTTAGCAAGGACATTATTGAAGGAAATATAAGTGAATTTAATGAATATTTAAATGAACACACTTCTGATGATTACTCCATATTTAATGAATTTATTTCATATAAATTAAAAATTCATGAAATTAGCAGTTAATTTACAAAATTAGCCTGTTAGACCTGAACATGTGAAAGGTAATCACATTATCTTAAACTAGTTTAGAGTATAATAATTTAATTTAATAATTATAAATATATTAATTTCTATGAATAGGTGTTATCCTTAAAAGTAGTGAATCACGTGATAATGAACCCAATGTCTCGACCGGAGGTATTCGCAAGAAATTTGAAAAGTTGACACAAAATAGCAAAACTGGGAAATAATAGTAGGATTACTGCTTTCCAGTATTTATTAAAGTTAATTTTTATCTATTTTTGTAATATTTCTTAACATTTCCACTACTTTTAAATTAAATTAAAAGTTGTAATTATAAAGTAAATATTGTTAAAGTGATTCCTCGTATAGAATTTGATTTTGTGTTTTAGAATATAATAAATCGCATCAAGGCTTGACGTTAATGTCTTTACAATTAAAAAATATAGGCATAATATAAGTCTAGTTTTAGTTTTCAGTTAAAACCACTAATTACTCATCCAAAGTATTACATACTGTATAATTTTGAAATTAATAAAGTATGTATTTATACATTATATTCAAATAAATTGTTTTGATTCACCACAAAAAGTATTCAAAACAGTGTGCAATATAACAAATATTTGAAACCACAAGTATTTGGTCGACAATTAGGAGAAGCCATGGATTGTGTCGAGTATTTCATTTCGTGTGAAATATTACGACAAATCTTAGAAAGTGTTCAGTATTTGCATGAATTGAATCCACAAATCATTCACAGAGAACTCAAACCTGAAAATATATTAATTGCTGAAAATGTAAGGAACGGTAGATTTGTTAAGTTAGGAGACTTTGGTTTGGCTGGCGAGCATGTGGTAGCTAATCAGAGTCACTCAAAAGATAAAGGAACTCCTAACTATAGAGCCCCAGAATTGGGTCAATCAAAGTATACCCCAAAAGCAGACATTTATAGTTTGGGTATACTTTCGATGGAATTGTTTGATATTATATTAGAGTAAGTAATAAGTGTTGAATAGTAATTGTATTTGTAATTAAATTTTTTTAAAATCATTTATTATTTTAGTGGAAGTGAACTGGTTAAATATATAAGCACAATACTACAAGAGTTTTATGTACACGACAGCACTAAATCTATACTAGATGTTTTTAAATCAATGGTTAACTATGTGTCATACCTTAGGCCAGAGTGTAAAGATATATTAAATGAATTTGATAAATGGTCACTAAGCAAGGACATTATTGACTCAAATATTAGTGCATTTAATAAATTCATAGCTCAACACAATTCCGAAGATTTGGTTTTTAAAAACATAATAACATATAAATTAAAAATGGACAAAATAAGCAATGAAAGTCCAGTCTCTCCACATCATGAAAATATAAAACCGGCAACAAATACAGGTAATCTAATATAATTTGTAATTGAGCAAGAATATATAATTATGTTTACAATGAATAGGTGCCATCCCTAAGAGGGTGTCGAGTAGTATATCACGTAATACTGAGTCTAATGTCTCGACCGGAAGTATACGTAGTATTCGCGAGAAGTTTGAAAAGTTGTCCCAAAATAGAAAAACTGGGAAATAAAACATCAAAATATTCTCGAATTAAATGTTATTAATATATTATTAATTTGTAAAGTATATGTGATTTAAAACACAAACATTTTATAAGATATACATTTAAAACTTATTTCTAAACTTTTATTATAGTTTAGTTTAAATTAAATAAATGTGTGTTTCATATGAAATATAAACCAAACTTCAAATACTTTTAGTTTTATGACATCAATTCTATGTATTTATAAATATATAACAAATGAAGGTTCAGTATAAGTGGACATCAGTGCCCACAAAGTGTATGGGAACTGGAGGTCACCATAAGGCCTGAATGGGGTCAACCACCAAAATAGCCAGCACTCGCACACAAACACACCGAAAATACATGAAAAATACCAAATATTCTGTATTTAATGACAACAAAAATGCACACAAAAGGGTGACTTAATTTGTACACGAATTGAGTGCACTATTCGTGACACTGATTGTCAACTAATTTTTATTCAATTCATTTAATACTATTTGTATTTTTTAAAATAAAAGTTAAATAAAACTTAATTTGTTTTATAAATCGATTCACGACTGCAAACAAAACTTTAAAAACTATTCATAAATTACATTACAAGTCGGAAGGATTGTCATCTGTGTCTTAGTTGTGACCAAAAAGTGCTACAAAAGTGAATAGTGAGTGAAAATGGCACGAAATAATCGTCGCAACAGAAACACCACTCCATTGCCAGCATTGGACACAAATATCACACAAGAGACCCAAACAGATGCCGAGGAATTGGTCGACAAAAGGCAACCAACGCTCGCAGCAACTGATGGCCGGAAAGATGTCGTTGAAGTGGACTTATCCGATGCGGAGGACTACTACTCGTCGAAGACATCTAAGAAAAGTAAACCGAAGCTACAGATCTTCAAAGGCACCGGCGATAAGGTTTCCATTGAAAACTGGTTCAAGAGGTTTGAAATGATTTCTAATCATTATAAGTGGAAAGACACCAAAAAGGTAGTCATGTTAGGCAACTATCTGGAGGATGACAGCCTTAACTGGTATATCGAGAACTACTCGAATGATAGTTATCTTAGTGTTAAGTCTAAACTAATTGCACGCTTCGGTCTCGAAACTGTCGAACCGATTATAGTTTGTAAACTTGAAATACAATGTAAACTCTCGTATAAAAGAGTACTTTGAATGTAAGCGAAAGTACGGTTTGGCGGCAAAACTAACTGAGACTCAAATGATACCACTTATGGTACATAATTTGCACCAAAAATGATAGAATCATTTATTGCAGTAAAACCCAAAACCTTTGCAGAGTTTTACACAATAGCCAAAACTGCTGAGAATAACTTAAAACGCTTTCCAAACACTAAATCATTTGCTAATAATGATAAGCAAAAGCCCGCAAAGAGTGACCGAAGTGTGACACAAAATATGCGCCAAACCTCCCAATGCGTGCAAAATATGCGAAAATCTTGGATTTAAAGTCTACTATCATTGGATCAATGATTGCCGAAATAAAGGCAAAACTGTTACTCCAAACAGTGCTAACAATTGAAACACTAAAACAATTAATACAATTGAAACTAAATCTAATGCAAACTCATTGCCAGAGAATGACATGAATCGCATTGATTTAAACTGAATGCGAGGCCTACACTACCACTCATTAAAATATTAACAATAGTTAATAATAGCATAATTAATGCAATAAACGATAGGGTGCTAACATATCCGTAATTAATAGCCAATTAGCTAACAAACTAAAGTTTATAACAATTAACTCAAACGATAGTTTAAAATATAAAACTATTGTTAATACAAATAGTTGTTTAGGTCTCACAACAGTTAACATAACAATTGGCAACTCTTGCCATTCATGTGAATTGTATGTAATTTCTAACTCTAATTATGAGCTCAAAAATAATGCCATAACTTATGAAATATTGAGTAATTATACTGTAAATACAGTAACAAATTATAACTTTCATAAAACTAATGAATTAAAATATGCGATAAATATATTGCAATCTGAATGCATATCTCAATACAATATAAATAGTGATCTCAATAGTGATCAGCAAAATATAATTAATAGTATTTTAAATAAATATTCAAATATTTTCTCAATACATAAGTATGATATAAGGGTTTTCTCTCAATTCTTATCACAATTTTTACAACAAAACCTAAAAACAAATATCAATAAGATATAGGTATTGGTATTACTAAGTTATAGTACATGTGTCATTATAAATCGATCAACACATTATAAATAACATGAAATGTTTGACATGGCATTTATTGTGTTCATAAATAATAAAATATTAAATGACTTGTCAATAACTATTGAAATAGATATACATCTAAAAAAGAAAACAATTTTATTTTTCAAATTCAAATAAATATATAAACTGTAAGCGATTTGTTGCGCAAATATTAGCCATGAATTAGTGGACGCTTTTTAGTAATAGAAGTACTTATTTAATGCCAAATACTACATAAAGAGTGACTTGGGTTGAGGTGCACTACCTTTTGGCTCACATTTGGTGGGCACTGATGTCCAACTGGTAGGTGTGAGCGATGTACACATGATTTGTATCCCCGACCTTATGGGACAGGGTTTGGGACAGGGTTCGGTCAAACGAAACCAAATAATAGGCAAATCCGAGTGATTCTGAACTTTGTTTGTGAGACAACAGAATCAGATCGCTATACGATCGCAATGTGCTATACATTGAGACAACAATTCATTAACTATTTATTGGATTTGTATAAATATAGCTTATTTTATTAAATTGTAAACAAATTGTACTTATATAATTAAATTGCTTATAAATCATTTCATTTTAGTATATTTTCCAATTCAATACACTAGTAAATATATATGTATATTATATACAGTATATATATAGGGAGTATATATAGTGTATATATTATTACTTTATTTGTTAGGTCAGAGAAATGCACATATAATGGTACACTGGAAGGGTATACTTAATTACTAAACCTGCATACTCTACTTGAGAATACGTGCCAGGGTGTTTCTATTATTCCACCTTGCTGCTCTTAATATCTTAGCAACGACTGCATCCTTCACCAAATGACTTATAGCCAGTCGGGAGTTATAGCCCTTCGCCACACTCACAGCCGTAGTAGTGTTTAGATTACAAAAGTAAGCAAGGCCAAATTGGTCTCTACTGATTGCGATAAACTGGCCTTGTACTGTATACGGCAATGAGCCCCGGCCTTAGCCCGGACAGCTCTATGTCTATAAAGTATAGAATATTTGTTTTTTTGTATCATATTATTCATTGTATTAGATAACCATTCGTTTAAGATATACTAGTTCATTATATCGAATGAAATAACTGCTCAAACTGTAAACATAAAACTATTTAAAGTATAATACTGTCCGTTAAATGAATCTAGAAATATAATAGTTACATTGGTCACTTACTCGTGGTAAGCATTACTGGATTTGTACTGACAATAGCTGGCAATGGTCTCCGGAGTGTCGGGTAATGTGTTTCCGGTTCCGATAAACTCGAGTTCATTAAACGCCTCATCGATGGCCGTGTCGTTAAAGGCTACCTGTCCGCCTTGACCTCTCTGTCCTCTGCCTAAATGTACAGTATAATATACTTTGGGTATTTTGGGTACTTTGGGTATTCAACAGTGTTGCCAGAAGATACTCAAGGGTATGAAAAGTTTATTAAATAGCTCTTTTCATCTACTTTAAGTTAATGAAGAGAAACTCTTGAGTATTTTCTGGCAATAAGGTGATTTTTACAAAA